CATGCTGGTTCGGATTATGTTGATATTCTGGTCCATCAACTTTGTAATCTGCTGTATCATCACTCTTTCGAAGATGTTTATAATGTGGAAGTTAGGGCTACTGGTCTGTAATTTTTAGCTAGTGCTCTACCACCTCCCTTATGCAAAGGAGCTATGTCTGCACTCTTTAAGGTCTCTGGTATTTCACCTAAATCTAAATCTAAACTCTTTCTCCAAAGAATGCTGAGGGCTCGTGCTAGTGGTACTTTGCACTTCTTTATAAATAGAGCATTCCATGAATCTGGTCCAGGTGCTGCGTAAGTGACCATGTTGTCCATTTCTTTCTTGAAATCTATGGGATTTGTACTGTCAGTTAGTTGGTCCACGCGGCCTTCTGCTGGAGTGAAAAATATTTCTGCATTTTCTACCTTGCTGTCATTTAGTGGGTTGCTGAACACCGATTTCAGTCATTTCCTGTTCATCGTCAGTGTACGAGTCTCCTCTCAGTAGTGGTCCAATTATACAGGTAGTTCTTAGCTTGGATTTTGCAAAGGAACAGAAATATTTTGGGTTTCTTGCAATGTCCTGTATGGCCCTTTGTTCCGTTTGTACTTCTTCTGTTAGGTATGACATCCTAAGTTTTTGTTCTAACTCAGTGATCTCTCGGCTAAGACTATCTTTCCTCTGTTGCAGCATATTCAGTAACCCCTTTTTTTCTTCTGTACCATCTCCTACGCTCTCTCTCTCTATCTGATCTTCTTCTGGGTTTCTTCAATGATACGTGCTTCATGCATACCTTGTATGCTTCTGTATTAAGCTTCTCTAGGCACTGGTGGGGATTTAGGGTGCTCATGTCTGATTACCAGGGTATGTCTGATAGCTCTTGGTTTATTTTTTCCCAGTCAATTCTATGGTTGTTAAAATTAAACTTACTGAACATCCTGTCTCTAACATTAGTGACGCAGTTCCCTAACCCTGAGTTAATACTCGTTTGAACTTCTATGATGTTGTGATCAGAGTATATTGTTTATGTTGCTGTTATGTCTCTGATTAGTTCCTCGTTGTTTGTGAATATCAAATCCAGGGTATTTTCATTCTTAATGGGATCGATTATCTGTTGGTTCAATGAGTACTTTTCACAAAGCCTCATTAGTTCCCTGGTATGTGCCTGTTGAGCCAGGGTGCTTCCCGGAGATATTTCTGGTATAACATTATGTTGCGCCATCTTCCATTTTACATGAGGGAGATTTGGTGTGGGATTTTCTAGCCTATGCAGACAGCTATTTATCTTCCTTAACTGATCTGTGAATTCCTCAGCAGTTGCTGATGGTGGTTTGTATACTAAGATAATTACCAAATTCCCATTTTCAACTTTAATGCCTAGAATTTCTACTATATCATTCGTAGAGTTCAGCACTTCTGTGCAACAGAAAGTATCCTTACATAGATTCCTACTCCTCCCTGTGACCTACTGATTCTATCACATCTATACATGTTGTAGTTTTCTATCTTTATCACTCCGTCCAAAACATCCCTTGTATGTGTTTCTGTAAATACTCCAAACATGGCATTCACTTCTGATAAGAGCTCACTGACATAACTAACTTTATCATATTTATTTGATTTCAGACCCTGAATATTTCCTAATATGAAGCAGGAATTACCGTTTGAGATCTTTTTTCTTGCTCTGTGTTTCGTTAGTACCACTGGTGATGTATTACCTGGTATTGCCCATGATGTACATAACCCTGGTTTCTCCAGTACTGACTTTGCATTTGATTGTTCATTCAGCCCTGATGGGCTGATGCTTGGTTTGGTATGTCTCATTGTGCTGCCCATCTGTTCCCTCTCTACCATTCCCCTTTTGTCTCTTTCTTCGGTCCGATCGTTTCTCTTTATGTCTAAAAAAGATTGCTGTTCATTTTTCCCTTTCTCTGCTTTCTCTGTAGCGCCGCGTTCCTTTTATATGGTGGTCTGGGCAGCTCAGGTCATAACATTCTCTGGACTGTGTTGAAGCTTTACACATTACTGGGTGGAAGTACCTGCTGCACTCTTTGTTGAAACGACACTTTTCCTTCCTCAACATGTTGGCACATTTTCTGTTGTGTTTATTCCAGCAAGCTCTTTCATATAGGCACATACCTTTGCAGAGTATCTACAAATGTTCTGACTGCCTATATTTACTGATTTTGTGTCTTTCCCAAGTTCTGCCACCTGATCTGAGTTCTCTTGATCTCTTTTATCTAGGCGTATTTCTTCCCTTTTTCATTTTCGTTTGTTCCTGCTCTAGCTGTCGTTTCCTTGCTTTCCATTTTCTCTGTGTTATGTACCCATGTTTCGTTCTTTTCCGACTTGCTCTGAATGACGTTCTCCACTCTTATTTCCACTCCTTGGTTTTCACCTTCATCTGCGCTTTCCTCCTTTTCTTGTTCCTTACTCCGTTTTCCACTCTTTGTATATATCTGGCAAGCTCCGTAAAAACTTTCTAGGTTTTTACTTTTCAGAACCTCTCTTATGCCCGATCAGCTTTCTATCTCGCTGGGGCAAATCCAGAATCGACTTTCTTGTTTTAGGTCAGTTCTCATGGTTGCATGAAGCTTCGTACATGATACATGTAATGTTTTACCCATATTTCAGAATCACTGCCGCTTATATTTGTCCCAGATTTTTTTCACATATACAACAGACCTTATTTCTGGCCATGATCACTCTTGGGCAGGTGTATGTGGTTGTTGGTGGGTATCCGTGGGTAGAGGTGAGAGGAGGGAGGCTGCGGGGGGCATCGACTCCAGGGTGAGGGACTGATTACCCCATTCTCCTCCTCATATTTCACCGTTCTTCTCTGTATTGGACTAAAGAAGCCACTGTCTGGCGAAACGTTTCCTCAGTAAAGATTCCCAAATGTTGCACATGTCTCATTCTTCACGTTGTCTGTTGTCTAAAACATTACATCAGACTATACACTCTTCTTGTTAACTACACTTCTAATAGTCTTCAGAATACCCATAAGAGTCTCATCATCTTAGGATACACTATCGTGTAGTTATGTTTGTTTTGTAATGTGGAGAAAAACATAGCCAGTGGGACGCTGAGCTTCTGAACAGGTCAAGGCAGCGACGCTCCAGAGACACTGTTGTTTCCTGACAAATAAACCACCACCACCTCCTCCTCCTCCTCCTCCACCTCCACCACCACCACCACCACCACCAACAACAACAACAACAACAACAACAACAGCAACAACAATACAACAACAGCAACAGAACACAGCCGGCCACCTTTGTTGCCAACTAATTGTTCGTCATGTTTGACAGACGATAATCAGAGTTGTTGTGGTTTATTGTTACTTTAACTGTTGCGAGGCTGTCAATCGCGGCAGGAAATAAATGGTGACGTTGAAGGCATTACGAGGTAATGAGTGTCCATTACTCAGGCTGCAGCCTCGCTCCTCCTGCCAGGGATGCACTAGGATGATGTGCAAATAAAAATGGAGATATTGTCAGAGATGGGAAACACAACGAAGGAAAAGGGACGATAGCAGTAATTCCTTGGATCAAGAGCTCTTCACCAGCGTGAAGGAACTCCAGTGAAGGGTCAGGACCAGCTAGACCACAAGCAAAGTTCTTTGCTACAGTACAACGTTAATGAAATAAGTGTTATGCGAACACACACACATACACTAGTATAGACCAGTGAAGAGTCGGGGCCAGGAGCTGAGTCTCGAACCCTGCAACCATAAATAAGTGAGTACACACACACACACACACACACACACATCTTAAACTACCTTCCAATATACCTTCTCACTGTCATGTTCACAGTGGCGTGAGAGTAAAGATAACACTTTATATTTTGCCTTCTTATTTGGAAGACAAAAAGTCACAATGACATGATATGTTTTACTGTGATAGCCGCGTGTCCCCCCCCCACCCCCCCCCCCCCAAACCCCCAACCCCCCCCAACCCAACCCCACCTAGGAAGGGTAAACAGTTCGTGTTACCACCAGACATCGGCTTTACAAAGCTCTACACAGAGCGAAACGTCGCCTCAACAGAAGCTCTAGCTCTGCGCCCATGTCTTCACCACCAGCTATCACAACATACACCCGCCTATCCTCTAATTTAAGCTATCCATGAAAATATTTACCGGGAATATTACGAATATTAGCCGTGTGTATTAACACAGCTCATCCTTCACGAGACGGCAATAAAATGTTTTGCTGTGGTGACCTGGTTCCAAGAACTTGAGCCCTACACGACCAAGAATTACTCTTTATTACTCTAGGTTAAGTAACATTATTTCCTGCCCCACAAACTTGATGTGTGTAGTGCCAAAGAGATTGTTATAGCTTATATACACCGTCAGGTGTACATTTCTTAGTGTGTATATATAATAATCCATGTTTTTAAAGTGAATTAAGAACATAAGAATGGAGGAACACTGCAGAAGGCCTACTGGCCCACACAAGGCAGGTCCTTATCAAAACCACCCCTACCCTAAACTACCCAAGAATTCACTCCCGTACCCACGACACCAATCAAACCCAGCCCCTCCCACTTTTAAATGTTTGAGTACAAGTGAATTTGCATTATTATTATTATTATTATAATCAAGGGGGAAGCGCTAAACCCGGAGGATTATACAGCGCCTGGGGGGGGATGTGGAAGGCATTCAGGCTTAATTCGGGGAACTGGAGCACAGATCCAATTCCCTAAATCAAGAGCCCCTCACCAACATCAAGGAACCTTCCTTGAGGCGCTAAGTGAATTTGCAGCCCAAATCGACTCAGGCGTAGTCACTACGCTACTGAACACGACAAACTAAAACATTCGCATCTAACTCACTACTTACAATCTTTAGGCAACGTTTCCACCCTCCTGGACCATTTATCCACTTGGCAATGGTTCAGGACGGTCCGAAATGTTATTTGATGTTTACGCTTCAAACTGTGAATTCTGAATTGTTACGGCGACGGTATTGTGGCGTTTATTCCCCAGACTAAGATGTTATTTTTGTTGCAGAATGGTGGGTGACGGGCGGGCGGGGTGGTAAGGAGAGCCAGGAGCCAGCAGCAGCAGCAGCGGCAGCAGGCTGTGCAGCGGCAGGCTGTGCACCAGCAGCGGCAGCAGCAACAGGATGGGGAGCAGCAGTGAACAGCAGCACCATCATATGAACCAGCAACAGCAGTACCACTACCACCAGCAGCAACAGCATCATCATCATCAGCAGCAGCAACAACAACTGCAATCACAGCAGCAACAGCAAGATGACAAGAAACAGACATACAATCTCTGCTGGAACGAGTTTCCTACGAACCTTCTCTCTTTTTTCAAGTAAGTTACTGCATGAAATCGTGTATTACAGACAAATACAAAAAAAAAAATTGCAGAACAAGGTTTCGCTCTATAGTCTTGATGACACTACACGAAACATCGCGATCAAAGACTCTTGAACACAAACACGAGATACAATACATGAAAACCCCACACACAGGAGAAACCTTATGACGACGTTTTGGTCCGACTTGGACCACTGACTAGTTACACTAACACACGAAGATGGTAGGTTATTAGGTTTGTCAGGAAACTGGACAAGTGTTTCTTGACGAGGGTCTTAGCCACATGATGACCCTCAGCTGGAGATTTTGGTCATCTGACCGAGGCCAGCAGAAGGCCTCGGTCAGATGACCGGTCCACCTCTTTAAAAATCATGGTTTGGTTGATCAAACATGCGAAGATGAGGCAACCAGTGTGTGTATACACAGGAGAAGAGGATAGGGGCAGGACAAAGAGAGGAAGAAAGAAGTGGAGAAAGAGTGGTATAGGTAATGCTGGTAGTGGTAGAAGTAGTAGTGATAGTAGTAGGTAGAGAGAGTAGTGGTAGAAGTAGTAGTAGTGGTAGTACGTAGTACGTAGGTTAAGTAGTGGTAGTGGGGCAAGAGACAGAAAAGGGAGTGATGCGAGTTTTGTTTTGTTGTAGATTCGCTGGTATAATCGCCCTGCCCGGCTCTTTTCCAAGAGGTGGCCCAGCCTTGGCTCCCTGTCGAGGGAGTGCCTCAGACCAGTGTCTGCCATGGGAGGAGGTAAAAGTACCTCCTAATCTTCTGGGACCAGCTGTCCCCATGCCTAGCCCCCATTCCCAGCCCCCCACGGGGCTCGGAGGGAGAAGCTAGGCACCTTGGGCTGCCACAAACCCCGCCCACACTGGGCTCGAAGGGTATGGCAGCTGCATAGCAGCAGACGATGTCAGGAGATGCAAAGGCAGCCAGCACTACAGGATCCTTTTGGAGTCACACTCCAGCATTGGGCATTAAGCCCGAGCGCTGGGAAGCTCAAGAATGCCTCTTGCTGTGTGTGTTGCGGCTGCTCCTACAACACTTGTCCGTTGCACTCTGTCCTAGTGAAGCAGGCAAGACACAAGCTTGCTTTGCAGCCTCGCTGCTTGCGTTACTGAGTACATTAGTCAAACTCTTCATTATCGCTAACACTAAATATTTCAACGATGCCTCCGAGGTATATATCTATACATATATACATATAATATCGCACTGAAATAATAAAAAGCCAGCGAGTCCGTAGCAAACGTGCGCAGCCTAGCAATAACTTATTCACGAAAGAGGAAGTTGATTATGGATTCGTTTATTGTTATTGGCTCATGAGAGTTTCATACCGCGATTCAGTTTGGGGGGGTTGATATTCCTCGTCAGCGTTGCATTAGTGACATTTTACGTAAAACGATGAGAAACTTACGGACCTGAGCAACCTTTAAGAAGTAGCGAGTGAAGTGTGTGATGACAGACAGTTGTTGAGACCAACTACCGTAGCTCTGGGATACTGCTCATATATTTATACACTAATACGTCGGATATAAACGATATTTAACTCTATACTTTGATTATATTATTATTATTATTATTAAGAGTATAAGAACGAAGAAGCACTGCAGCAGACCTACTGACCTTGTTATTATTATTATTATTATTATTATTATTATTATTATTATTATTATTATTATTATTATTATTATTATTATTATTATAAGAGCTATAAACACGTAGGGGTCATACAGCTCCTACGAAATGAAAGGCAATCAGATTTGTTCTGAGAGAAAGGGGCAGCTCAAGTGCATTGGATCAAGAGTCGTTGAGTGGCATCAAGGGAGCCTGGCCCTCCCTCCCTCCCCCTTGAATTCTCTGTGGCACAGAGATCATGCTAGATGATGGTCTTTAGCACCATGGTGATAGAGAGGCCCATAAGGTTGCTGGTGTCCCCTGCTTACTGAGAGTGTTGTTCCCTGCTTACTGAGAGTGGTGTCCCCTGCTTACTGAGAGTGTTGTTCCCTGCTTACTGAGAGTGTTGTTCCCTGCTTACTGAGAGTGTTGTTCCCTGCTTACTGAGAGTGTTGTTCCCTGCTTACTGAGAGTGTTGTTCCCTGCTTACTGAGAGTGGTGTTCCCTGCTTACTGAGAGTGGTGTCCCCTGCTTACTGAGAGTGGTGTCCCCTGCTTACTGAGAGTGTTGTTCCCTGCTTACTGAGAGTGGTGTCCCCTGCTTACTGAGAGTGGTGTCCCCTGCTTACTGAGAGTGGTGTCCCCTGCTTACTGAGAGTGTTGTCCCCTGCTTACTGAGAGTGTTGTTCCCTGCTTACTGAGAGTGGTGTCCCCTGCTTACTGAGAGTGGTGTTCCCTGCTTACTGAGAGTGGTGTCCCCTGCTTACTGAGAGTGTTGTCCCCTGCTTACTGAGAGTGTTGTTCCCTGCTTACTGAGAGTGGTGTCCCCTGCTTACTGAGAGTGTTGTCCCCTGCTTACTGAGAGTGTTGTTCCCTGCTTACTGAGAGTGTTGTCCCCTGCTTACTGAGAGTGGTGTTCCCTGCTTACTGAGAGTGGTGTCCCCTGCTTACTGAGAGTGTTGTCCCCTGCTTACTGAGAGTGTTGTTCCCTGCTTACTGAGAGTGGTGTCCCCTGCTTACTGAGAGTGGTGTCCCCTGCTTACTGAGAGTGGTGTCCCCTACATACTGAGAGTGGTGTCCCCTGCTTACTGAGAGTGGTGTCCCCTGCTTACTGAGTGGTGTCCCCTGCTTACTGAGTGGTGTCCCCTGCTTACTGAGAGTGGTGTCCCCTGCATACTGAGAGTGGTGTCCCCTGCTTACTGAGAGCGGTATCCCCTGCTTACTGAGAGTGGTGTCCCCTGCTTACTCAGAGCGGTGTCCCCTGCTTACTGAGAGTGGTGTCCCTTGCTTACTCAGAGCGGTGTCCCCTGCTTACTGAGAGTGATGTCCCCTGCATACTGAGAGTGGTGTCCCCTGCATACTGAGAGCGGTGCCCACTACATACTGAGAGTGGTGTCCCATGCTTACTGATAGTGGTGTCCCCTGCTTACTGAGAGTGGTGTCCCCTGCTTACTGAGAGTGGTGTCCCCTGCTTACTGAGTGGCGTTCCCTGCTTACTGATAGCGGTGTCCCCTGCACACTGAGAGTGGTGTTCCCTGCTTACTGATAGTGGTGTCCCCTGCTTACTGATAGTGGTGTCCCCTGCTTACTGAGAGTGGTGTTCCCTGCTTACTGATAGCGGGGTCCCCTGCTTACTGATAGTGGTGTCCCCTGCTTACTGAGAGTGGTGTCCCATGCTTACTGAGAGTGGTGTCCCCTGCTTACTGAGAGTGGTGTCCCCTGCTTACTGAGAGTGGTGTCCCCTGCTTACTGATAGTGGTGTCCCCTGCTTACTGATAGTGGTGTCCTCTGCTTACTGAGAGAGGTGTCCCCGGCTTACTGATAGTGGTGTCCCCTGCTTACTGATAGTGGTGTCCCCTGCTTACTGATAGTGGTGTCCCCTGCTTACTGAGAGTGGTGTCCCATGCTTACTGAGAGTGGTGTCCCATGCTTACTGAGAGTGGTGTCCCCTGCTTACTGATAGTGGTGAACCCTGCTTACTGAGAGTGGTGTCCCATGCTTACTGAGAGTGGTGTCTCATGCTTACTGATAGTGGTGTCCCCTGCTGACTGATAGTGGTGTCCCCTGCTTACTGATATGGCGTCCCCTGCTTACTGAGAGTGGTGTCCCCTGCTTACTGAGAGTGGTGTTTCCTGCTTACTGAGACTGGTGTCCCCTGCTTACTGAGAGTGGTGTCCCCTGCTGACTGATAGTGGTGTCCCCTGCTTGCTGAGAGTGGTGCCCCCTGCTTGCTGAGAGTGGTGTCCCCTGCTTACTGAGAGTGGTGTCCCCTGCTTGCTGAGTGGTGTCCCCTGCTTGCTGAGAGTGGTGTCCCCTGCTTACTGAGAGTGGTGTCCCCTGCTTGCTGAGAGAGGTGTCCCCTGCTTGCTGAGAGTGGTGTCCTCTGCTTGCTGAGAGAGGTGTCCCCTGCTTTCTGAGAGTGGTGTCCCCTGCTTGCTGAGAGTGGTGTCCTCTGCTTGCTGAGAGGTGTCCCCTGCTTGCTGAGAGTGGTGTCCCTTGCTTACTGAGAGTGGTGTCCCCTGCTTAGTGAGAGTGGTGTCCCCTGCTTGCTGAGAGAGGTGTCCCCTGCTTGCTGAGAGAGGTGTCCTCTGCTTGCTGAGAGTGGTGTCCCCTGCTTGCTGAGAGTGGTGTTCCCTGCTTGCTGAGAGTGGTGTCCCCTGCTTACTGAGAGTGGTGTCCCCTGCTTACTGAGAGTGGTATCTCCTGCTTGCTGAGAGCGGGGTACCCTGCTTGCCGAGAGCGGGGTACCCTGCTTGCTGAGAGAGGTGTCCCCTACTTGCTGAGAGTGGTGTTCCCTGCTTGCTGAGAGTGGTGTTCCCTGCTTGCTGAGAGAGGTGTCCCCTGCTTGCTGAGAGTGATGTCTCCTGCTTGCCGAGAGCGGTGCCCCCTGCTTGCTGAGAGAGGTGTCCCCTGCTTGATGAGAGCGGTGTCCCCTGCTTACTGAGTGGTGTCCCCTGCTTGCTGAGAGTGTTGTCCCCTGCTTGCTGAGAGTGGTGTCCCCTGCTTGCTGAGAGAGGTGTCCCCTGCTTGATGAGAGCGGTGTCCCCTGCTTACTGAGTGGTGTCCCCTGCTTACTGATAGTGTTGTCCCCTGCTTGCTGAGAGTGGTGTCCCCTGCTTGCTGAGAGCGGGGTACCCTGCTTGCTGAGAGCGGTGTCCCCTGCTTGCTGAGAGTGGTGTTCCCTGCTTGCTGAGAGTGGTGTCCCCTGCTTGCTGAGAGCGGGGTACCGTGCTTGCTGAGAGTGGTGTCCCCTGCTTGCTGAGAGTGGTGTTCCCTGCTTGCTGAGAGTGGTGTCCCCTGCTTGCTGAGAGCGGGGTACCCTGCTTGCTGAGAAAGGCATCCCCTGCTTGCTGAGAGTGGTGTCCCCTGCTTGCTGAGAGCGGGG